CCCGAAATTTTAGCGAAGTATCCAAAATTTGCTGACTGTAGGTAATGCATGTACATGACTGTACAGCTGCCGCCCAGTTGGGTGGGTGTGGAGCACATGACTGTAAAGCTGCCGCCCAGTTGGGTGGGTGTGGAGCACATGACTGTAAAGCTGCCGCCCAGTTGGGTGGGTGTGGAGCACATGACTGTAAAGCTGCCGCCCAGTTGGGTGGGTGTGGAGCACATGACTGTAAAGCTGCCGCCCAGTTGGGTGGGTGTGGAGCACATGGCTGTAAAGCTGCCGCCCAGTTGGGTGGGTGTGGAGCACATGACTGTAAAGCTGCCGCCCAGTTGGGTGGGTGTGGAGCACATGACTGTAAAGCTGCCGCCCAGTTGGGTGGGTGTGGAGCACATGACTGTAAAGCTGCCGCCCAGTTGGGTGGGTGTGGAGCACATGACTGTAAAGCTGCCGCCCAGTTGGGTGGGTGTGCAGCAAGACTAGTAACTGTGTGACTCATCATAGATGTAAAGTGCCTTGTATAGTGACTGTTGTGAGCCTCTTGTTGATCACTTGTGACACAAAAGATTATTAATGTGTGTACTTGTGACTACCACCAGGATACTGCTACACTTTCCACGCAACCGGGGCAGGCTGCTCCGTCCCCTCCTGCACCTTCAAGCACTACTGCCCGCGCTGCCACAAGCGACACCCTGCCTACTGCCCGTGCCCCCAGGCCCAACCTCGAGTCGCCACCGCCAAGGAGAATCGTTCCCGTCGCCCCCCACAGGACAAGGGCAGGAAGAAAGACACACGTCACAACGCCAGTGGACGCAGACGCACTTGATACTTTCCTGGTGGGTTACCCCCTCCGGGACTATGTCGTGGGATTGATTGATGAAGATTAAGCCACCCAAAAGGTGACACGGGCATGAATAGCCCGTAAGTGGTGGCTCTTTTGAGCCATTATCAGTGTCAAGAGATGATACTGGAGATCTGTGGAGGTGCGACTGCACCCTGCGTGACGGGAGATGTCTCCCGTACGATGTCGTGGGAGGCTTCCGGGGGGTTTCCTACTCGGTTACGAAGGGGCTCGGACTCCCCTCTCCTCTCGTAACCCCCCAGCAAATACAGCCCTGCCACATATAGTGGGACCTATGCTCGACAAGGAACTGAGCCTGGGGCGCATAGCGGGCCCCTTCGAGGTCCCCCCATTTGAGAACTTCAAGTGTTCTCCCATAGCCCTGAGAGAGAAGTCTACGCCGGGCAAATACAGGCTCCTGCACAACCTCAGCTACCCCTATACCTCCGAGAGCGTGAACGCCAACATCCCGCGGGAGACGACAACAGTGACCTACCAGTCCATCAACGATGCGGTGGCCTTGGACGTCAGACGCTCGCCTGGGGCGCACTTGGCGAAGTGCGACATAGCAGAGGCGTTCCGGATCGTCCCGGTCCACCCCAGCGACTACCACCTACTCGGCTTCGCCTACGGGGGGCGGTACTACTACGAGAAGATGCTCAGCATGAGGGCGGCACCCTCCTGCAGGATCTTCGAGACGTTCTCCAGTGACCTGCAATGGATCTTCGCGGAGACGTTCGGCGTGCGGGATGTCGTGAAGGTGCTGGACGACTTCCTCTTCGTGAGTTCTACCTACAACGAGTGCTTGCGGAGCCTGCGGGTGTTCACTGCCCTCTGTGAGCGCCTAGGCGTTCCCCTTGGACGACAAGAGGATGAAGTACATGGCTGCAGTGGAAGACGCTCTGCGGGCCGAGAGCCTCCCCCCTGCGGGACCTGCAGGGGATTATCGGCAAACTACAATTCGCCACGTCAGTCATACCGGGGGGACGGGCCTTCCTCCGACGACTTCATCCGCTCACACGAGGTGTACAGCGTCCCTCACGCCTCTGCCTGCTGGACGCGGAGGCGAAGCTCGACTTGGGAGCCTTGCACACTTTCCTCAGCGCATTCAATGGGATAACGGGTTTTCCACCAGACGGTGGATGGGGCAGCGCCACGGCCCTCGCGATGTGTGCGGACGCCTCATCCAAGGGTTACGGACTCTCACTCGGAGCGACCTGGTTTAGGGGTACCTGGCCTATGGACTGGAGCCGGCTCAACATTGCGCTCCTCGAACTTTACCCTTTCTACATGGGAATATCCATCTTTGCACCAGTGTTAGCAAACAAAAGGCTTGTGTGTAGGTCCGACAACGCCGCTGTGGTAAACGTGCTGCAATCTCTGTCCGCCAGGTGCCCGCTCCTCATACAATTGGTCCGGCCACTGGCAATCCTCCTCCTCACCCATAATATTACGTTTCTTCCATCTCACCTCCCGGGCAAGTTAAACGGGGTTTGTGACGCTCTTTCCCGGTCGCAGGTACTGCCGCCCCCGTTCCTGCGAGACGCAGGACTCGCCGAGAAGCCAACCGCCGTCCCGCAGCACCTCCTGCCCTGCAACTTCACCCTGAAACTGTAAGGACGCTGCTCAACTCCCTGCAGCCCTCGACACGGCGCACTTATCAACATAAGTGGGCGGAGTACGTGGTGTACGTATCGGACGACAGGAGACGGGAGTGTCCCTTTGAGGCCTCGTCCTCGACACTGGTGAACTTCCTGCAGTCGCTGCTGTCTCGGGGCTTGGCTTTCCGCTCTCTCAGCGCTTACCTCGCGGCGATCGCCTTCATGTTCAAGCTGCATGGTAGCGAGGATCCTACTCGCCAGTTCCTAGTCACACAACTACTTAGGGGAGCGCGCAACAAGGCCCAACTGCTCCCCGCACGACGATTGCCCGTGACCAGACGACTACTGCATCGACTACTGGGTGCCCTGCGAGGTGTCTGCCGCTCGACTTACGAGAAGACCTGCTACCGAGCGCTCTTCTCCCTCGCCTTCTACGCCTGCCTCCGGCCAGGGGAGGTGACCTATACGGGAAAGGGGCAACACACGCTACGCTTGGACCAGTTAACTTTATCACGGACGGGGATCGACATCGCGTTTGCCTCCTACAAGCACAGTGCAGGGCGTACCCCCACTTTAACCCCGAGTGCAGACCCCTATCTTGAGATGATTTCGGGGCTTTTTTTAGTGTCCCCGCGGCCCGGTCCTCGACCAGGCCTCCACCCCCAGGAAGCAGCCCGTGACAGCTGACTAACTCCCAGGTACCTATTTACTGCTAGGTAACAGGGGCATTTAGGGTGAAAGAAACTTTGCCCATTTGTTTGTGCCTCGTGCGGGAATCGAACCCGCGCCACAGAATTACGAGTCCTGCGCGCTATCCACCAGGCTACGAGGCCCTACAGCAAGTACTGCCCGGTCCGTGCCATGGCGAACTACATAAGACGACGGGGCATGGAACCAGGACCTATATTCCTAGACGAAACGGGCGCCCCGGTCACCAGACAAGATTTCACATGGGTGCTCCGTGCTGCCATTCGAGCACTAGGACTGCCTCCTAACGATTATGCTCCTCACTCCTTCAGAATCGGCAGGGCCACGCAGATGTCCAAGGATGGCCTGGCGCCGGCAGCAATCAGAGCAGCCGGCAGGTGGAAAAGTGATGCGTTCCACTCCTACGTCAGGCAAGACGTCATTCCACTACCTAGATAAGTTACTTCTGCGGCCAGCGGGCACCTCGCCCTTCAGGGGGTGGGGGACTGGCTGCACTGGCCTGCGGAGTGGGGGTGCCGCAGCTACTTACCATATGTCAAGTGCTCACTTGTAGTGCAAGTTGGGGTTGGCAGACTTTACATGTAAACTAGGCACTAGCATATCATTACCCCTGGAAATTCTTATCTATTCTTTTCTATGCCCTCTGTGTATACAGAATATATTTTATACATACTGTACTGGCTGTGCCACTCAATTAACTCTGGCGTTGTCTTTAATTATAGCATTAAGCTGATTGCGAGTACTGCAACATTGCTTCGGCTAGCCGGCACTAGGCACGGTTAATGTCCTACGACTTCTTCCCTTAGTTGCATCTTTGCAGTACTGGCATTCTACTCAGTCATGTTACACGACATCTTTTATTGTGGTACACCAGTTGCTCTGTAAACATTACTTAATAAATTAAGGTCCCCAACTCCTGGCTTGTTTTTTCTCCCCGATCAGAAATATACATCAGAAATATACATGTATGTATGAGAGTGTGTACATGTGTATATAACATTAATAATTTTGTAACTAGCGTCAAAAGATTGTTATTTGCTTACCTAAACGAACTAGAGGGTTCAGTTCCTGAACCGATTATGTGCTTCTGTAACCCTTTACACCACCGCCCACGGGAAAGGTATGGGGTGCATAATAAAGAAAGAAATTGAATTGCTGTATCCAGGACTACTAAATAAATATAAAACTCACGAAAAACTGTGTCTCTAATCTACCCAACAACGTAACATAAACGTACGTTACATATGTATATATTTTCATATTATAATTCGTAATATGTAAATATCTCCGAGTGAAATAATGTTCATTCGTATTTTTTACTTTTAATACAAAATAAATAATAATTTTTTTTAGTATTTATTTATAATAACATTTTATTTTATAAACCCATTGTACCATCTTGTAAAAATATAACTATTAATATTATTATTGGTAAATGGTAAAAATAAATATGCGATCTAGACATGCCCGAAAGCCTTTGGGAGATAGATGCTTAAAAAGAATGTAAGAACACCAATGCTATGTACTCTCTCGAGAAAATGTATCTTCTTGTATGTAAATGAATAAATAAATTCGTTTGTTTAATTCTAATCCTTGTAGGCGAAAACAGTCGTGAACGCCAGCTAGCGCACAAGTACCTGAGCGCCCAAAATACCTTTACACAAGACATGTACAGACAGGCGTGTGGCTTCTGACTTCGTTTTTATTGATTATTATTACATATTAGGTGCTTACCTATAATAGATATTATTATATACAAGTATATCTATCACATAATAAATGTAAAAGATGTTTATCCAAAAACTGACAAAAGTGTTGTGTTTTGTGCGTTGTGTCGTGTTTGTGGGCTTCGGGTTTGTTGTGTTTACACTGGCGGGCGGCGGCTTACCAAGCCCGGGTTGTGTCCATCACACCACTAAACTTCATATATCACATCACATACTTCATATAACAGGCACGAGAGACATCTCCCGTCACGCAGGGTGCAGTCGCACCTCCACAGATCTCTTGATAATAGTAATGGCTCAAAAGGGCCACCACTTAGGGGCTATTCATGCCCGTGCCACCTTTTGTCTGGCTTAATCTTCAATCAATTAATCAATCAATATAACAGGCATATAACTATATGCCTGTTAAGTAGAAGATTTTAATTGTTAATAGCATTATATTGTCGTTTTATTATTGAACACATACACAGGTGAAACGTCCGAAGCTGTTGGTGACCGATGTGGTAAAAATATTAAGTGTTCGATGTGGTCAATGTACCGAGTGTCTTGTATCCTCCCCACACCCGCGCACAGCTGATATTTGTAATTGTAAACACACACTGGTCGCGATGAAACCTTCCAAGCTGACATTCAGCGAACATGAGAAGACTCTGCTGTTTTCCCTCATCTCCCGGGAGAAGCAGGTGTTGGAGTGCCGAGACAACAAGGCCCAAAGTCTGGAGGAGAAGCGCGAGACTTGGGAGGTGGTAACGGCACGTTTTAATAGCGAGGCGACAGTTGCCAGGACGGTCGAGGAGCTGAAGAGGTGTTGGATGAACCAGAAGTACCGTGAGAGGTACCATGAGAGGTAGGTGGCCGCCCCTGGGAGGCGAGAAGTTACCCCAAGTGTCGTTACCTAAGTATATAAACAACATTTACCTCATACAATCTACCTCATTTTTCTTTTTTTTTTTGTTCATTTTGTGGTTGTCTTGTATAGTCTTGTTAATATTTTTATTATTTCCCCCCTTTTATATCAAAATTTTATTTTGTAATTGCCTTTCTTGCCTTGTTTTCCAACAACCAGCCTTCTTATGCAGACAAGTATAGACCCAGAACTATACCTCTTATCCACTATCTATGACAATCATCACTTTAATGATCAAAATTGCAGATATTATACAGCACATGATGTAAACAATGTATTAACACATAATCACAATATCTCTGTAATCAACTTGAACGTTAGATCTCTAGGTAAACACTTCGATGATGTTAGTGCCTTGATTAAAACTATTGACAACAAATTCTCTTTTATTATACTTACTGAAACGTGGTTAAAAGAGGATACTACTCAACTCTTTAACATGCCAAACTATTCATCAATTCACAACTGTTGACCAATTGAGAGAGGTGGTGGCACTGCTCTTTACTATCACCAAGAACTGACATGCTTAAAAGAAATTAGAACTAGAGACTACTGTGGGGAGTATATCTTCGCCAGCTTCAGAGTCAAGGGTGCCGAGTCTGTCCTGTCTGTGGGTGCAGTCTATAGAATTCCTAACACTGATGTATCTGAATTCAACTCAAACCTTAGAAATCTAATACTAGATAACAGACTGAACAGAAACCATCTAATTATCGCAGGGGACTTTAATATTGACCTCAGCGAGCCTGAAAACCCTACTGCTGTTAGCTTCCTCAATTTTATGAATTCCTGCTTCCTCATACCCTTAATCACTAGACCAACTAGAATCCCTGATAGTACTGCCACGACTCATCACATCTGGACCAACATAACCTCCCCACTTACTTCAGGGATAATCGTCGATAGCACTACAGACCATTACCTCACATTTCTCCTAACATTAACAAACCACCTCTAGAGACAAGGGAGATAAGCTTTAGGCTGCACAATGAAACTGCCATAGGCAATTTTATAGCTGCTGCTGATAATGTCAACTGGGAGTCCGAGTTAGGTAACATAGAGGACATCAACCTAGCAGTGCAATCTTTTCTTCAAAAAACTCTTAGCCTTTATAACTCCCACTGTCATATGCTAACAAAACAAGTCACAACTAAAAGGCTAAACAATCCTTGGCTTACAAAGGGAATACTTAAATCCATTAATAAAAAACATGACCTTGAGAAGAAGTATAGATTAGGAATCATCTCCAAAGAATTTTCAAAGAATTACTCGTTATTGCTATCTAAAATAATTAGAAGAGCCAAAACTAAATACTACGAAGATAAATTTACCCAAACAAAGGGCAACACTAAGAAAACATGGAGCACAATTTCACAAATATTGGGATCAAAGAAGAGTTTAAATAACAAACCAATACTCCTGTCAAATAACGATGGTCAACCTACAGCCTCTGATACTGCTATTGAGTTCAATAGGTTCTTCTCTTCCATTGGGTCATCCCTTGCAAATGATATTACACATTCTCTTGTGTCAACTACATTTACAAAACCCTGTTCTTAAATGCTAACCATGTTTTGAAACTCTCCCTGGACAGATGTAATAGGACCCATTATCACCACACCAGAAATAAATATCTCTGATATCCCCAGGATCAAACTTAATCTGTGTAAACACTCTATGCAAATTAAGAGACCTACTCTATGGAACTCACTCCCTAGTGAATTGAAAAGCTGTCAAACTTTTGCCTCATTTAAAAACAAAACCAAAAAGTACCTAATTTCATCTTTGTAGTTTCCTACACTGAGCTTTAAATTTGCTCTGTATCTAGTGTTACCCAATCTCCCAATCTTTATGTACTTAATCCAAATAAGTTTATCATTGTGTTCATTGCTTTCTTCTTTTATGTGCTAGCCATATGCTGTATTGTGCCTACCAATTTTTGTCAACTACCATTCAAGCTGTCATTGCAATCACTCTGAGCTACCTATGTGCTTTAATATACCTACAATTTTTCTCTCATCTTTTATTTTTTTCATGCTATATAACTGTTATTTTTGTAAATTTTGGAAGTATTTACCTACTTATAAGTTTCTTGGATTAAGGACCTGCCCGACATGCTGCGCGTACTAGTGGCTTTACAAGAATGTTATTACTATGCTATGTATCCTCACAATCCCAATGTACCTTCTTGTATATATATAAATAAATAAATAAATAAATAAATATTCCATCTTCCAGTACTGATGTTCAGGACTATCTTACAGGTAACTATCCACAGTCTCTGTACCTAACGCCTGCATATTTCATTGATGTTAATGAGGTAATCCTTTCCCTTAAAACCAAGTGTAGTGCCCTTGAGGAGATACCAACTTTAATTTACAAAAAAAAACTCCAGATCTTTAGCTCTTGCTATTGCATTTCTCTTCAACAAGTCTCTTGAGCTCCAAACCTTTCCAGATATTCTTAAAAAAAGTGAGAGTAACCCCTGTCCACAAATGTGGTGATCTCAATGATGTTAACAACTACAGACCTATATCAATCCTGCCAAACTTGTCAAAAATATTTGAAAAACTAATCTACAAGCAGCTTTACTCTTATCTAGCCAAACATAATATACTCAGCTCTTGTCAATATGGCTTCAGACCCAAAAAAGCACTAATGATGCACTTATTAGTATGATTAACTTGATACATGCAGCTCTTGATAAAAATGAGTTCCCTGTTGAATTATTTGTGGACCTGCGTAAGGCTTTTGACACTGTCAACCACCAAAACCTTCTTCTTAAATTACATCATTATGGAATCAGAGGTCACTCCCTGCAATACCTCAAATCTTACCTTACTGACAGGCTCCAATATGTTTCTGTGAATAATTCAATTTCTCCCACCCTATCCATCAACATTGGTGTTCCTCAGGGCAGCATACTTGGCCCTCTCCTCTTTCTCATCAACATTAATGACCTTCCAAATGCCTCCCAACACCTCAAACCAATTCTGTTTGCTGACGACACAACCTTCATTTATTCCAGTCCTGACCCCTTTGCTCTTAATGTCATAGTGAATACTGAGCTAAATAAAGTCCATCTTTGGCTAACTGCCAACAAACTCACCCTCAACATTGACAAAACTTTCTATATTTTGTTTGGCAATAAATCCTCAAATCAAATAAATCTTAGGATAAATAATACCCAAATTTGTAACAAAATAGATGGCAGATTCCTTGGCGTTCTCATTGACCACAAACTGAATTTCCAGGGACACATTCTATATATATCAAAAAAAAGTTTCAAAAACTGTTGGCATTCTTTCTAAGATCAGATATTATGTACCTTAGGGAGCCGGTCGGCCGAGCGGACAGCACGCTGGACTTGTGATCCTGGGTTCAATCCCAGGCGCCGGCGAGAAACAATGGGCAGAGTTTCTTTCACCCTATGTCTCCCTGTTACCTAGCAGTAAAATAGGTACCTGGGTGTTAGTCAGGTGTCACGGGCTGCTTCCTAGGGGTGGAGGCCTGGTCGAGGACCGGGCCGTGGGGACAAAAAAAAAAAAAAAAAAAAAAAAAAAGCCCCGAAATCATCTCAAGATAACCTCGCACTGCCCTGGTGACGCTCTATTACTCCCTCATCTATCCTTATCTCAACTATGGTATTTGTGCTTGGGGTTCTACTACCCAAAATCATTTACGTCCTCTAATTACTCAACACAAAGCTGCTATTGGGACAATATCCAACTCTGGCCCCAGACATCACTCGGTACCCCTACTCAAATCTCTGAATATGTTAGATATTAAGTCACTGCACATTCTCTCATGTGTATTATACATATATAAAACGCTGAACTGTAATGCTAATCCTTACCTTAAAAGCTTCATTGAAGGTTGTATCAGAACCCATGAGCACCACACCAGAAACAAATACTTATTTGATATTCCAAGAGTACGACTTAATCAAACTAGAAATGCTCTACAAATCAAGGGACCCAGAATGTGGAATGACCTTCCCAATCATGTTAAAGACTGTACCTCTCTCAACCAGTTTAAGATAAAAACTAAACACTACCTAATTAACTCCCTGTAACCTTTCTTACCCCTATATTGTCAACCCATGTCTGTTGTTTTTTAAACAATGCTGTTTGTTGACCAAATTGTATTTTTTGCTGTTTTTCTGCCATGTTCCCCCCTTTTTTATTTTTATATTTTCTCAACACATTTTATACTTTAATCTCAATTAGTATTAAGTTTTAGTCTTTAGTGTTTTTCCTGCCCGAAACGCTTTGCATAATAGTGGCTTTAGGCATTGTATGTACTAGCCCTATCTATAAATTCATCAATATTTGTATCACCCCTTATATGTATGTATGTACTTTACCCAAATAAACATTTGAATTTGAATTTGAATTTGAACAGCCTGAGTTCCATGTTCATTGTTCTTGAGATTTCTGGGGGGAGCCCCGTCGGCTCCCCGGAGCTATCCCAGGCTGATATGCTAATGTCAGACTTTGGCATCAGTCATGTGTATGGAGTTCTTAGGCCTACCGGGGACCACGGCCAGAACCGGGCCCCCTCAGAGAGGCAAGGGGAGCAATGGCCTATAGAAGCCCCCGTGTAGTTGGAAGCATTCTATGTCTGCCATCGACCGGAACAGGCACCCAGAAAGGTAAGCGCCCCAAAACAAACCCCTATTCTGGTTAAAATTGCTACCTAATACCGAACTAGTGGATAGAACTCCCCAACCGAAAACAAGCAAATTAGTGTGACGTCACACACTGCCGCGCCGCTGTCTGCGCAGCTCCCCCCTCCCCGGGAGGGGGAAGGGGGAGCCCCAGACCCCCCGCGCCGGCTACCCACACCTCAGTTCTTGAGGCTGATGCTATTGGCGGTGGTCGTGTGCTCTGGCTCCGGTGTCGCTACTGCACTGTGCTTTGAGTGTGGTGTTAGTTTTG